TCAGCAGGTCAATGGAGGTTCTCCTCCTCCTTCTGAGACCCCACCTGGAGTATTGTGTCCAGTTCTGGGGTCCCCAGTTCAAGAGAGACAGGGATTTATTTGAGAGTCAAATGGAGGCTACTAGGGTGATTAAGGGACTGAAATACCTGTCTTATGAGGAAAGGCTGAGAGACCTGAGGCTGCTTAGTCTTGAGAAAAAAAGATTGAGAGGGGATCTTACTAATGTATATAAATATCTGAAGGGTGAGTGTCAAGAAGGGCCAATATCTTTTCAGACTGCTCTGGCAGGGGGGTTGGACTTGATGATCTTCAGAGGTCCTTTCCAACCCCTAACATTCTGTGATTCTTACCTGCACCATAGGTTTCTGGTTCTTTCTTAGAACAGCGGCTTTTAGTTTTGGAGTTTTGTTGTGTTCCATCTTGCTGTTTCTTTCCTGTTACAACACAAACAAGAAACCCCAGAAGATTTAATTCTGTGAGCTTTGTTACAAAAAAAGGCAGAGATTTTTTGCTAGGAGGCTGCTATTTCATCTGCTGTCTCAAAGCTACTCAAGCAGGTATGAGCAACTTTTAATATTTTTTTTTTTGTAAGGAATGTCAAGATTATGTTCCCTTCTCCCATTCAAAACTCTGTTCACAGCTGCAGGCACTAGTCCCATCCAGGCATCTGTTATCTGTAGGGGTGTTCATGCACAAAGCTATTGGGATAGGAACTCTTCAAGCTGAAACCTCCTCTGTTCAGAGTATGGTGGAACCAATCTAAGAGCTTGCTGACAACCAAAGAGACAGGCTCATTCCTCTACTCATTCCTGTTTTCTTTAGACTAAAGAACTCTTATTGTTTCTGTAGTTTCTCATGGGTTATTCTTTTTGCTTTCTTCTCAGTTCTCTTCAGCTGGTCCACACACCTCCTGAACTGCAGTGCCCACTGATGGACACAGCACTCAAGTGTGACCCTCCATGAGAGTAAAGGAATTGCTCCACATGTCTGAAAGTCTGTGCTCCTGCTCAAACACCTCAGAATAACATCTGCCTCTTTTAAGAATAAGTATGACACTGTTGGTCTCTATTCAGCTTTTGATCTGTTATAAATAATAAATCCTCTTCTCAATAACTGACACCTAGGAGGTTGTTCTTGGGTTTTTCAGCTGTGCTAGTATTTGTTTCTAACTACAGCATCTTTAACTTTACACGCTATATTCCATTCTATTTTTTAAACTGTTTAATAGCAAGACAACTTTCACCTACAGCCTTTTCTCCAACACATTTGCCATCCCTTTCAGCTTTGTGCTGCCTACATACTTACAAGCACTTGGCAACAAAAACAAAGTCAGAACTGAAGAACTGAACCCAGGACAGATTGCGAACAATCTCAGAAACGTTAAGGTTGGAAGGGACCCTCTGGGATCACTTAGCTAGTGACCTCACTGTAGAAGCTATCAGGTTGATCAAGCGTGATTTGTCCTTCAAGAATCCATGCTGACTACTGCAAATCACCACCTTGTTCTTCATGTGTTTGGAAATGCTTCCCAGGAGGATTCACTCCATCAGCTTCCCGGAGACTGAAACGATGCTGACCAGCCTGTAGTTCCCCAGATCTTTCTTCTGTCACTGAAGGTAGGAGTGTTATTTGCTCCCTTACAGTCTTCAGGAACCTCTTCTAGTCACCATGACCTTTCAAAGATAATTAAGAGTGGCCTCACAATGACATCAGCCAGCTCTCTCAGTACTCTGTGCAACCCATCAGGTCACATCAGACTTAGGTATGTCCAGTTTGTTTAAGTGCTCTAGCCTCATCTTCTGTCACTGAGTGTAAGGCTTCCTTGCTCCAGACATTCCTTCTGGTCTAAAGTGCCTGGGATCCCTCAAGCATTCCTTTAACTGAGAAAGGCAGGCACAGGAAGCACACTTCAGCCTTCAGTCGATGAGCTTCTTCCCTGTGCACTTTGAATTTCTTTCCCTAGTCTTCCCTTTGCTGTTCATACACTTGTATGCTTTTTGTATCCCTTGTTGCTTTTTACTTCCATTCCCAGATTCAACTCCAAGCTGACCTTGGCTTTCCTAACCTCTTCCTTGCAAGACTAGACAGCAAATGTATATTTCTGTGTCACCTGCTCTTACTTTCACCACTTGTATACTTCCTTTTGCACCTAACCATTAATTAACAACCCTCTGAAGGCATGAAAGGCCTATGGTGTCAAGCACTTCCTCCCTCCACCTCTGTGCTAAAAGAAAGTTAAAGTGGTTGGGTTTGATTTCTCTGTAACAAACCCATATTACTGCTTTAATCTACTCATTAATATCCCGATGCTTACAAGTAGTGTGTCTGATTATTTAGTCCAGAGCCTTTTTGGAAATTGAAATTAAGTAGATGAGCCTAAACTTCCTGTGAGGGACTGCAGTGATGGCCTGAAGTGATGGCCTGCAGAGATGAGATAACAACAACAACTGAGATAATGACGATGATAACGACGATTATTGAGGAGTGGAAGGGGGTAGGTCCACTCCAGCTGCTCACACATCTATGGCTCAATCACATGTATTCGTTGTGGAATCAAGATTCCAGGCCTATAAAACAGGGGGCTGCAATGGTGGGCTTTGGGAGTTTCATCTACGCTGGCCATCAACACTGACCCTCCCCCGTTGGCTGGACCAATGATGCTGGATCCAGGACTGGTGATTTTCCTGTCCTCTTTATCTCTCTCTTACTCTCTCGCCTCCCCTCTTCCCTCTCACCCTTTTCTTCTCATCCCCTTTTCCTTACTTAATATATATATGCGGGTGGTTTTGTTTAGGTTGTTCAATATTAATGCCTACTAGTGTAATAAACGTGTTATTTGTTATAAACAGACCTTGCGTGTCACTGCACCTTAATCTGATCAAGGGGTATTGGATGGCCGAGCTTTTACTCAGACCATCATACATTGACTCTATCTGGGAAAAGACCAGGTCTGAGAGAAGGATTTTGGACCCACCTGTACCTAAGCTCCTCTCTGAAGGAATTCTAGAAAGCAAGGGGGTTCAGACCTAATCTCCCTGGGGTGCCCAGTCTCAGCTGTGACATGTGGTCTTAGAGAAGGATTTTGATCCCAGCCTCACCTGTCTCCTCTCTGAAGGAAGCAAAGGGGCTCAGTCCTAACCTTCCTGGGTTATTAAATCTGGGCTGTATCACTTCCCCTACTTCCTTTCCTCCCTTGGTTGGACTTTCAAGAGACTGAAATGAAAAGAAAGAACAGTCTCCTATACCAAAATAACCAGAATCAGAAATAAAGTTGTAAGACAGCAGAGGATAGCATTTGGGCAAAGAAGTCTGAAGTACCTAGAGCCTTGTAACTAGAAATTACAAGTTATTTGTATTACCCAAAATCTTCTGCTTCTTCTTGGGAGAATCCTTAAGATCTTCGCCTTGCCCTTGCTCAGATTTCCTCTTGCCTTTCAGTTGTACTTCTCCTGTTAAAGAGTAACAACATAAATGCTTCAGTCTCATTATCCAGTTTGGACAACAGCCTTGAGTCTGCAGCTTAGCCTCATACTCAAAAAAAAAAAAAAAAGTAGTTTTTGTAAGGCACCTGGACACCAGTGAGCTAGACACAGCCTATTGACTCAGTAACATCTAGGCACTCCATAGCCTGAAATCCTCCCACACAAGAAAATACGGGTGAAACAGTGCCACGCTATGGTCTGGAAAAATAGTACTCCTCAGGAAGAGAGCCAGAAGGTACTACGTTATGACTTAAAAAGCTGATCTGCGCACACACAAAAAGAAGCATAGAGAAATAGCAGCAGGTGGGGAAACCCAAATAATGTTCTGCCTCCCATCACCATTTCCAGGCCTATGAAAGGCTTATCTCCTCCATGAACACAGAGAGGTACAAAAGCACAATGGTTGGCAGGGCAACCTCAACTATCACCTCAAAGAACCAGACACCTTCCTCCTGTCCCAGGAGACCCACCAGGATGAGCCAATGGGAGCTGCTCTCTCAGGCCCACTTTGGAAGCAAGAAGGTAGAGTGGTGAGAAGGGAGAGCGGTAATGCTTATGATTATGTGACAAGAACAATTCAGGATAGCACAAGACTCGGGCGTTTAGAAGTGCTATCAAAGGAAAGAAAAGGAGAGAATGAGCTGATTTGGGGAAGATCAAGTATAGCAAAATAGAGGTGTAGGAGGATAAGAAGGGCCACTTGCTTGTAAACAGTTGGCTGGTCAGTACAGAAATCTGGTCGTGGCTGACACCACATCAGAGGGACCTGAGGAGAGCAATGTCTGAGTGCCAGCCTGTCTGTAAGGTCTCCACCAGCAACCGGCACAGCTCTACAGGCCTCAGGGGCTACTACACCCATGTACCAGCCACTGAGGAGAACAGCAAGACATAGAGTGGGATATAGCCAGACTCCAAGTGGGATATGGCCAGACTCCGAGTAGACTGTGTTTAACTTCAGCTACAGGAGAGAGCCCAGGTTGCACACACATGCTGTGCACACACAACCATACACACACACACGTATGTGTACTTCTTTTATATATTCTTTGGATATATGCTGCTTTTCTCTCACGTCTTTACCCTGATCAGTCAGAAAAGCAAACAGGATAGAGACTGCTGGTGCTCAGAGAATGCTGAGTATGCCTCTTTGTGTTGAGCTGTGTGGCTGGCTCAGTATACACGCTGTATCTGTGGGTTTATCCCTACAGGAATCATACATAGTCTTGGTGCTGGTTGGACCTGGGGATGTGGAGCTGCAGCAATCTAGCTTCTGTCAAGCTACCACATTCTGCTCTCTCCACGACAGAATGGAACACAGGTTCTGACTTAGAGATAAGAAGAAAGTGGATTAAAGAAGAGCGAAGTTTTGGCTCTCTGCCACATGAGAAGCTTGGAAAATATCTCCTAGGCTTGGAAATCTGCATGTTCCTACACAAATGTAAGACCCAAACCACTTCAAATCAGAAAATTATTTTCTCACTTCTGTCACTTAAGAAATAAAAACACCCTTAAAAATAATAAATCTATCAACCACAAAAGCTGTTGAATGGTCCCTTTTCTGCAACTTTAGACTTGTTTGTTCTGCTTTTAAAGATCTCAAAAGCATATTCCTGATACGATTGGCAGAACCCTTACACATACATCTTCCACAGATAAAACTGAGCTCAGTCACAGAATCATTAATTTTAAAGGGACTGGGTAACATCAGAGAATTTTACCTATGTTTCTGCAGTGGACGAAGTTCATTTCTCCTAATACATAAACAGCACTACCAAGCTTGCAATTTGAGGCTGAACTGCAGCACGCCTTTCAGAGATCATCTAGTCTCTTGTATGAGAACCAGAGAGAAAAACAGTTTTGCATCAAGCCAAGAGTGATAAGTACCTTTCTTTTCTGAAGATTTCTTAGTACTGTTTTTTATTCCTCTCATTTCCAGCCAGTATGCAGGCCTGCGAATGGTCCTCTTGCTTCTAGACTCTGTGCTTCCATTCACTTGACTCTCAGGTGAGGCAGAAGAAACATTGCTGGTTGTCTCATCATAGTTACTGTGCAGTCCTAGGCCAGTGGTTTCCACCTCCTCACATTGCTTAGACCTAGAAAATATCAGCATGAAATCCTATGTATATGTATGCATACATGCATGCACACAACCATAGTAACTTCATGGACAACAACTTCCCTTTCATCTTCCCAGGTATTCTAAAAACTCATCTCACAGTTCATTGAATCTCCTGAGCTTTCTGAGCTGAAAAGTGCCAGCAAGAGAAAACATCCTAAATGTTGTTTTTCAGTACATCTTTTAGAGAATGACATTAGAAAGCTACTCAGGAGGAACAGAAAAAAAATATTCATCCTACCTCAAACATTCAACTTAAGAAGCAGACACAAGTTCATCTCAATTAAAAAATATATTTATCCTTAAGCAACTAATGTGGAATATAAGAATTCTTCTGCAGCCCATCATTACCTTTTCCCTCCCACAAAGGTGTCATGATGCAGGTAGGGCAACCCAGGGAGATTCAGATTGGACCCCCTTGCTTTCTACACTTCTTCTCAGAGAGGACCCCAGGTGCAGCTGGATCCAACCTTAGTCTGGCCCTTCTAGGGAGAGTGATTAAAATGTCACAGTCCGAGGAAATGCTTGACTGTCTGATACCCCTTGATCAGATTAAGGTGAAACAACACTCAAGGTCTGTATTTGAATATCAGTATCAATTAAAACCATAGAAGGAATACTGACACTTCAATTATTATCTCAGGCTGCACAATCATAAGGGCTGATTATTTAGATCACAAGAGTCATAACACATATGGCTCAAGCTGCACGGCCTGAGAAAAAAAATTGTGGTTAGGCCTTGTGGTACTTAATGATTTTAGGAAAAGAGAAAAAGAGAATAGGGCAAAAAAGTTAAGAGAGAGAGATAACAGAAAATCAGCAGTCTTGGATTCACCATAGGGCAACCAAACAGGGTAGAGTTGATGAGGCTCCCAAAGTCCACCACTGCAGACCCCTGTTTTCTAGGCTTGGGATCCTTGTTTTGCAAGGATAGGTAAGTGTGACCAAATCAGAAGACTGAGCAGTCAGAAGACTGTTCTTATCTCAAGCCAGGAAGGCCACCACCATTGCTTCCCTCCTGTCAGGCAGGCCTTTTGAGATGCAAATGAAACTTTGTTAGTGGTTACAATGGGTTTCAACACCACTTCCCACTAGTTCGGGTCCTGAGGGCTGGTCCCTCACAAAAGGGCAAGATTTTCTTCTCTGGGCATTCCCAGTGTCAGAGCTGACACTACAAAACTGAAAGACTTAAAGCTAGGAAGAATTTTAACTAGTAAGGCTTTCAGCAAATAAGACAACCTTGTAGTGTTATCTTACAAATCACACTAGACTAAGACTAATCTCGAGTAGCTGGCAGCACTGGTTTTTCTTCCTAGAGATCAGAGGGAACTTTGCTTCACTATTCTCAAATATTTCTCACAGCCCTGAAATGCCTGGACATTCACACCTGACAGCAACATGATTAGGAGTCTGTCCAATGAATTAGCACCCATGAGCTCCAAATTAAGGGAGTAATTAGCAGGGGCAATGCATAACTTGTTGCCCATCCTTCCTGCCTTGTATCACACCTGTTGTTTTGCTTTCATTTGCCCTTGAGCAGTAGACCTGGTTTTGGTCCATTAGCTGGGTATAACCACCAGAAGGCCTTTGTTGACTTAAAGGCATTTTGTTTAGACTGATGTGGAGAAAAAGAAGAACCATTTCCCACAAAGAAACACGCAGTATCTATTGACTAGGCATACACCAGTAATGTAAGATGGAAGAACAGAAAGCAGCAACACTTTTTAACGTAGCCAAATGCTCCCACAACTCACAAACTGAAACAAGTAGATCACTCAAATGGTGACTGTGATGGCCATCTCAGAAATGATGTCCCACACCCCGAGCTGTGGAGCTCACATCTTAACACATCAACCCAGAAATTCGTAAGTATGGGACAGTGATGGTACCAGGTCAGATCAGTACATGCTAAGCTTAAGGAAGTACTGCAGAAAGATAGGGAAAGGAAATCTCAAATTAAAGCCTTTCAGTTGCAATCACACTCAAAATATATAGATTTTGGAACTACATTTGGTCTTAAACATATTTGTGTACCCACTGTTAAAATCCTTTAAAATACAATAAAAGAAAGCTAATAGCCCTTGAAGTGTCAGAAAGACATTTTTCTAAAAACAAAATAAGCAAAGTCAGTTGAGACTCTCATTACACAAAGCAAAACTGTTGCAGCTCTTAAGATTGAGAATACTATTTAAAGACCAAACAGCTTTTCCAATATAAATCTCTCAGCTTTTTTCTTGTCCTCAGTCGAACTAGATAACAAATATTCACATACTTTTTGTTTCCCAGAGACCTCTTCACCTTCTGTTGTCTGTGATGTCCAGGCTTGGTGTCCTAAAAAAATAAAAAAACTCACATTAGCAGCTTAATTTTTCTTCTTTTTGCAGCCAGCATGTTTCACTTTTTAGTTAAACAGAATCATCTGCACCTTGAGGACGTGCATACCATCCTTTGAATAGGAAACCACTGTTTTTTGCAACAAGGAAACGTTTAACCTTCTCAACTCCAGCTGAATTAGAACTGGAATCAAAACAAGAATGAGCCCCACCACACACCCCAGGTGAAAGCCAAGCATTCACCTGGCACTGGGGCACAACGGAGTGTTGTCTCCCAATTCATTCAGCAGTACCTGCTTTCTGCCTAGACTTTGTGTCTGCATAGACACAAGTATTTTACATCCTAACATGGTTTTTCAGAGTACTTTTTTTCCCCTTAATTAAATAATTATTGTGTTTACCACATCAAGAATATTGTCTCTAGTCTCTTTTACACCCTGTTTTCATTTATCTCCTTTTGTCATAGTCCATCAGGTGCCCAGATGTTCACTTTATCCAAAATCCTTCTTATTAACAAGGAATTTTGTCACTTATTTGTTGCTTCTCATAATTCCATTAAGACACATAATTTAACAGATCCATTGGCATTCCCAGGTCAGTATAAACAACTAATTTGCTGTACATTGTTCTGGGCATGTGAACAATCATTCATCACCTTCTTCACCACTGAAAAAAATGCACTGGAAAAAAAATTAACTTCAAACCATCTTTTATGGTCTTGCCCTCTAATTTATGCATAGAAACAAGTAGTTCGTGTTTCCCAGGCCCAGAGCCAGAAAGAGACACCCTAATCACCAGGCAGGAAACGCAGTAGTGAACCTGACATCAACGAGATGAATTTGGAACTCGCATCTCTCATGGAAAAGTAAGGGAACAACAGGAGAAAATTTCCCAACTGCTTGATCAATGGCTTCACAATCATATCTTGTCCTCTATAGAAGAAAAGTCAGCTGAATGTTTGTACTACTTTGATAAGGTCTATAAGCATTTTGTAATGTGAACACCTGTGTTTGGGAAACTCCTATGGCAGAAACCTCACTTGAGGAGCAGCTAGAAACAAATTATGTCTGGGAAGCTCTAAGGATAAAAACAGGCAGGCACAGTCTGCTGCAATCTGCTGACCTGACCTACCATTAGAGAACCTAGATGACTGACAAACACAGCACACATTTTAAGATTACTTTTTTTAACTAAAACAATGTACATAAAATTGAAGATCATAGTTAAGGATCTGCAGTTGAAAAAAAAAAAGCACATATGAGCTGTCTAGCTTTTATTTCTGAGAGGGTAATAGAAGCAATAATGAAGGAGACATCTCGAGAAACTGGTGTTTAAACTTTTGAGCATTTGTTATTTTTAGTGCACTTCCCACTTAGAAAACAGAGACCTAAACAGGACGCATGAATGCCCAAGGTCTGGCCCTATGGAAAACAATAAAGTCAACTTCCTTGCCTCGGTTAGAAAAACAGAAACAGAGGCCTGGAACCTGAAAAGCCGAAGGAACTGATTGATGAGCAAGCCCATTCTGAGTCCCTACGGACCGCGGGACCTTCCTGTGACCCGGCACAGGGCCCGCTGCTGGGGACAGCCCCCGCACAGCCCCCCCACCGGGGGCACAGCCCCCGCACAGCCCCCACCGGGG